CATGAAGTATGGCTGCTGCTGCTCTTGTTTGGTCTGGTGAGTGGGTTACATGGAGAGAGAAGAGCTGTACTGGGGAGGATCTGTACTGGGAAGAATTGTATTGGTGGGTTAGAGATCTCTACTGGGGGGACGGCATCTTTACTGGTGGGAAAGTGGGATTTGTACTGGGGAGGATTTTGGCATGAAAAGAGAGGTAGCCTCTTGGGACATGTCAGAGGTCCTAGGAGACTGCGGGAATAATCATGGGGCACAGTGTGGCTCACACATGTGCAGTGGGCAGTCTGTTGTGAAGCTACAATTAGTCACAGTCGGCTGCCCACAATTAAGATGTCGGTGCCTGGACCCGAAGATAGGAAGATGCGCCGGGTCAGATGAAGACATGACTGGATCCTGGGACAGGTAAGTGTATGTTTTTTAGAAGTCGGCAGCTATAGAATTTTTGCTTACAGGGTGAGGATCCTCTTTACATAATATTTTTTTTCAGTACAAGGACTGTGCCATGTGTTATTGTGTACACAGTGTGTAGTCTCGGGTTTTAAGCCCCTCCCACTGTTAGCGTAATTTTGCCACAGTGATAATTTACCTCTAGGTACTCAATGTAAATCCAACCCCATCCCCCCAGGAGAAAAAATATTTACGGCCCTGTGCAGGAGGACTAAGATTGCAGATACACGTAACTAAAGTTACACTAAACCCAATTTAAACATTTAAAAAATGATGCTCAGTACCTATAGTAGTTACTATCTGTGCCCCTTCTGACAGTAGTGTTGGACAGCACAGCCATAAGAATATGTTTTGAAACTTCTCAGCTGGAACTTGCTTTGATAGGCTGTATACTTACAATCTACATGGTCCCACTGCTCCATGTACCATCAAGGATAAAGTGTTACATTTCCCTTGTTCGTTCACTCTCTTTGTGATACCATCCCAAGGAACTATATTCCACATCTCAACTTAACTTCATACCAACTGAGCCCCAATGAGCACACAGAAGACACTGTAGAGTTCTTAAAGGGACAGTGCTCAATTTCAAATGCGAATTCTCTTTCCTTCACATCTAATCCTTGTCACCTAGTTCTGAGGACCCAAAGTAAGCTTACCATTTTTTTGTTAGCTGTTTTCTGCTCACTGGGGATTCAGCAATCTCCTCAAATTGGAGGCAATGGATTATTACTGAAAGCAGGCCTGCTAACAGTTATTGTTGCTTTGTGGTGAATGTGGTTACTTTTGCTCTCAATTACCAAGAGTGGTTATATTTGCTGCATATATCAATGTAATTTTGTTCTTTTTGACCAAGTTACATTTGATTCCAATATAAACTTCATATTGGCTTACACTAACTTGTATGTGATTCCATTTTACAGGTGTGATTTACTTTGGCCACCGGAGCACGGTGGTGTCAGCAGAGGTTGGGCTTGCAACAAGAGGCTCTGATTGACAGAGAACCCCAAATATATAATACACAACTTTTAAGGGGGTAGTGCTACACATGCATTCACTCAGCGTATGCCCGTTAAATTGTCTGTAGTAAGGATGTATGAAAAAAACATAAATTCATGTGTAATTTGTTGTAAATTTAAAAGAAAAAAATTGCGCAGGTTTGTAGCTCTCCATTTTAACCTTTCTTGGACCACAATTTTTGAGAGAGAGAGCAAACACATTGAATCTGGAAAAAAAGTAATGATCACTTTAGGGAGACCGAAGATGGAAATATACTATAGACGAGCACCACATAATTTAAGTCTCTATGGACAGGCTACAATTTTTCCCTGAGTGGGAATGTTTCATCTGGAATTAAAAAATTAGTCTTGATATAGAAAATAAAGAGGGAAATAATTACAGTTTAGGTTTTTTTGAACAGGCCACAATTCTTAAGAAATGAGCATCTTGCACATGAAAAGAAAGAATAATAAGTGACCGAGTGGGCATATCGCATCTGGAAATATAAAACGTTTTTCTTTGTTAGACTGAGTAGGGAAAATGTTACAGTATAGTTTAACTCCACAACTATTAAACCTTTCTGGACAGGCTGCTATTTCTTAGGGATTGAGCAGGCATATTGAATATGGAAAAAATTGCACACATTTGCAGCACATCTTTAGGTCTTTATTGGACCACAATTTCTGAGAGAGAGAGCAAGCACCTGCATGCAAAATTAAAAAAGTGTGACTTGTTTTGGAGACTAAAGATGGAAATTTGTTTCAATTTCAAAAGAAATAAATTATACAGATTTGTAGCTTACCTTTTAAGCCTTTCTTGGCTAGGCCTCAATTTCTGGGGAAGAGAGCAAGCACATTGCATCTGGAAAAATGTTATGTTTTTTTATTGAGATTGAAGATGAAAAAATTATGGAAAAATGCTATAGATTTGCACAATAGATATTAAGCCTGCATGGTCTGGCTGCAATTTCTAAGCGACTAAGCAGGCATACTGCATTTGAAAATGGCAAAAGTTAATGTCTTTTTGTGTTATATTGAAGATAAAAAACATGAACTAATTTGCACCACACATTTGAAGCCTTTTTGGATAGGCCGCATTTTATAAAGTAGATTGTATTGAAATAACACCTTCTATTATCAAAATTATTAATTCACATGAATGATTAAAATCTACATATACTTATCACCTATAGTGGAAGAGTGAATAAGTCACCAACTGTATTTACTAGTACAATGTTTAGTCCATAAGGAAGTATTCATTATGGATATTCACCAGAAAAAAATTAAACAAGACGAGAGTGAGAAAGAAGCAAATAAAAGACAAACATTAACACTATCAGTAATATAAATAACTTGTAATTCTTGATATGTCAGTGGATTATGATGATGATATTACTATGTTTTTCTAGCCCTTAAAGTGTTACTAAATCCAAAACAGTAAAACCAGTCTGTATATGTAGTAAAACATGCTTGTTATACTCACTGTGGAGCGTAAGGGGTTAATCCTCTGCATCGTGTAAAAAGGCCGCTTGATCCTTCCTTCTCTGTTCCTCCCCCTTTTCAAGTGACCACCTCTTATCTCCTGATAAGATAGACTGAACCATAGACATTTGCACATGCTCAGTTTGGTTTGTATTGCTAGAGATTTTTTTTTTTTCTTTTGAGAGTGTATCTGCACAGGGCCAATCAGCACTGTCCAGACAGAGGTCAGGGGTTTTGCGTCCTCCTAGAGCAGAAAGAAAACTCCTCCCACAAGCTTTAGCTAGTGCTGGGCTGGACACTGATAGAAGTCACAAGACTGCTCTGCTGATGAGAAAAGGTATTTAGCAGTTTATATTTACTAAAATAATTGCATTTCCATGTTCTGTGTACTGTGGGAGATAGTGAATAAAGGGTCCTGGGTTTAGTAACACTTTAAGGCTCTAGGGGTGAATTGATGACATTTTTAATTTCTGTAAAGAGTTAGACAGGTTCCCTTTAATATACTAGCAGAAAAGAACAAAACAGGGTGCACTCTCCTCGTGCATTACCGTGATAGTAAGAAATTTATTATAAAAATACAAATGCATACTCACAAGCCAAAATGGTCATAAAAAACAGAGACAAGGAGTCAAAAGCTGGCAGTCATGGGCAACATAGATCTTTGGGTAAAGTACTAACACATTTCAGGAGTCGAAATCCCTTTCCCAGAGCAATAAATAATAGTTTTTTTTATCTATTGCTCTGAGGAAGGGATTTCGACTGCTGACACGCGTTAGCACTTGTGTGACCAGTCTATTAACCATACAAGTGTTCATAGATATTCTGCAGGCTTGACACGATTAGGTCAGCATATTAGTGCTCTATATACATAAATTGCTTTAGTGACTTCCAATATATCCAAGTGACTTCATACGTGCGAAAGACTGTAAGAAATGCGCACTCACCAGATGCGCATAATAAATGTGCATTGAGCTGAATATGAATCTGTAGGGAGCCCCTTTAAGTAGATCTGCCAGACAGCATGGAACCAGGATCCCTCCTCTGGACACAAGCTTCCTCTGCAGCCACGCTTGAACTGTGGTCCTCTGTAATCCTTAGCTCAAATCAGAGCCAATAACAGAAATGCCTCATAGTATAGTATTAAAAGTGCATTTATTGCTTAAGTTAAAATCCAGATGATCATCCAAGGAATATCCACCAAAATATTTAAAAATGCTGTGTATTGGCTATTGCAAAATACATGTGGCTGCTCAGCCACTCACTATGATGGCTGCTGGACCTTCATGCGGCTCTGGTGGCGTGACCTCATGGCGCATGGCTCATCCTTGACGCGTTTTGTGCGCACACACATTTTCAAAAGGGGTGTGCCTAACGCCTGACGTCCATTATGCTTCTTTTATACCCGTGAGGGGCATGCGCATGCACATTAGCGAGCGCCATTTTGTTTAATACCAATAAACATTACAATAAGTGCAATTTTACTGGAGACCAAAAAATCGGCTTTCAAAGCATATGCTTATGCGCATGCGCGGGTGCCATATCTAGGAAGATGTAAATACAACGGGCGCCATTTTCATGAAGTCAAAACAATCCAGGAGAAAATACTTAATTAACCACTAGCCTACAGGGCACTTATACCCCCTTCACACTTTGAATGACAACTGCGCGGTCATGCAACACTGTACCATATGAAATTGTTATCATTTTTTTTATGACAGATAGAGCTTTCTTTTGGTGGTATTTAATCACCTCTGGGATTTTTGTTTTTTCTTAAACCAAATACCACTGAATATTTTGAAAAATAAAAGTTTTTTCTTAGTTTTTGTTATACAATTTTTGTAAATAAGTGATTTTTCCCCTTCACTGATGTGCGCTAATGAGGTTGCAGTGATGGGCACTGATAGGTGGCACTGATGGGCACTGATGAGAGATGCACTGGTAGGTTGCACTGATAGGCATTGACAGGCATCACTGATGGGCACTGAAAGGCAGCACTGATACATGACACTGATATATGGCACTGATAGGCGACACTGATAGGCAGCACTGACTGGCACTGATAGGCGGCACTGACTGGCACTGTTAGGCGGCACTGACTGGCACTGATAGGCGGCACTGACTGGCACTGATATGCGGCACTGACGCACACTGATAGGCAACACTGACTGGCACTGATAGGTGGCACTGATTGGCAGCACTGATAGGTGGCACTGACTGGCACTGATGGGTGACATTGAAAGGCAGCTCAGATGGGCACTGATATGTGGCATTGATGTGCACTAGTATGCACTGATGTGTGGCATTGATGTGGCACTGATGGGCACTAGCAGGTGGCACTGACTGCTGGCACTGATGCACACTGACAGGTGGCCCTTCTGGGGCCACACTGATCATCAGGGCACACTGATCATCAGTGCCCTGATGATCAGTGTACATGTCCCCTCTGCGGAAAGCCGATTACCGGCTCTCCTCTCCTCTCGAGCTGTCAGCGTGACAGCTCGAGAGGAGAGAAATGCTGAAAAATGGCATTTCCTTGTTTACATGTGATCAGCTGTGATTGGACACAGCTGATCACATCACATGACCGAGCCGACATCTTCAGCTCTTTCCGTGATCCGCTGTGTCCGAGGGACACAGCGCACCGGCGATCGCCGCTCTGTGTGCTCCCTGAGCCGCGTATGCGCGGTGAGAATGGAAGGACATCATATGACGTCCTATCAGAACGAGAGAACCACCTTGCACCCGTCATTGTACTATATGGCAGGCGGAAGGTGGTTAAGGATGTACAATTTAGCAGATATCGTGGGCTCAAATATCGCATGTTATTAATATATATAATATTATAAAAACGCACATAAGTATGAAGGGGTTAAATTAGATACTTATTCACTAAAGGGTACCAAAAACTTTTTAATCAAAAACATTGTTATTAAAAATGATGTTAAAACACAATAAATGCATTTTAAATGTTATGTTGAACACCATAAAAAAACGAATTACGGTATATAAACTAATAAAAAAACTAATCAAAGAAAAAAAAACCTGCGTATAAAACAAATGTGCTAGAATCTTTATTAAAAATTATATTTATTAAAAATAAGAGAAGTAAAAATATGAGGAAAAAACAAGAAGAAAAAATATAAAAAGTTAAAAAAAACAAATTAACGTCCAGGAATGGAAGCCCACAATTTTGTATATTAAATAATGTCAAAAAATCCCTGTATCAAATACATAATATATGTCATGATATTATTAAAATTCATCTATTCTAAAAAATGGTACCACATATCTAATATTTAAAAATACCAGAAAAAACAGTACCGTAACTAAAAAAATATATAATCTGTAGAAAATGTTAAATGTATGCATACCTCAAACAATAGGTGCATATCATATAATAATAATGTTAGAACAAATTTTATATTATACAGTAGAATAAGATAACCAAGAATATCGACCAATTGTAGAATAAGATAGGCATGAATAACAAAAAATAGTGAAAATTATAAATATATACCTATTTAACTATTATCAATGAAACAATTTATATCTATGTCTATGTTAAGCCCCAAAGGGGTCAAAGTCTGGATTTCATAAATCCATTTAGTTTCCAATTGGGAGACTCCTCTTTGTTTATTAGTTCCTCTCCAGTGAGGATGAATAAGATCAATACCAACAAATTTCAGAGATGAGGGGTCTCTGTTGTGATGATACCTATAATGTTTGGATAGGGAGTGTTCTTTAAGGCCTTTCCTAATGTTGTAGACATGCTCCCTAAGCCTATATCTCAGCCTCCTAATGGTCCACCCTATGTACTGCTTCTGGCATGAACATTCCAATAGATAAACCACAAAACGGCTATTGCATGATATAAAGAGTGAAACTTTGCATTGTTTACCTGTGGTATGGGACACAAAAGAATCAGTCATCCTTTTTCTGACCCCATTACATCGACAGATAACACATTTATTGCAAAGGTAGAAACCTTTCATATTGAAAAATATTATGCCGTAGTGGGTGGATCCACAATGTTAGGCGCTATTTTAAAATACAAGAAAAATAATTAACAAAAATTGGGGAGTGCTAAAGACAGATCCTGTCCTATCCAAATTGCTTCCAGAAATACCTGAAATAACTTTTCGGAAAGCTATACCCCTTAGGAGTAAAATAGCCCCTAACATTGTGGATCAATGTATTTTGCAATAGCCAATACACAGCATTTTTTAAATATTTTGGTGGATATTCCTTGGATGATCATCTGGATTTTAACTTAAGCAATAAATGTACTTTTAATTCTATACTATGAGGCATTTCTGTTATTGGCTCTGATTTGAGCTAAGGATTACAGAGGACCCCAGTGGAAGCGTGGCTGCAGAAGAGGCTTGTGTCCAGTGGAGGGATCCTGGTTCCATGCTGTCTGGCAAGTCTACTTAAAAGGGCTCCAGATTCATATTCAGCTCAATGCACATTTATTATGCGCATCTGGTGAGTGCGCATTTCTTACAGTCTTTCGCATGGATGAAGTCACTTGGATATATTGGAAGTCACTAGAGAAATTTATGTATATGGAACAATAATATGCTGACCTAATCGTGTCAAGCCTGCACAATATCTATCACACGATCACATTTATGTTTTGCGCCTATTATAGGGCTCTATTCACTTATATCTATAAGTTAACCTGAATTATTGGTTAATATTAAACATTTGGTATGTTATTGATTTTCTTTAACCACCTCCCGCCCGCCATATAGTAATATGACGGACGCAAGGCGGTTCTCTTGCTCTGGGAGGACGTCATATGACGTCCTCCCATTCTAACCGCCCATGCATGGCTCCCGGAGCGCGCAGCGTGGCAATCGGCGATGCGCTGTGTCCCTTGGACACAGCGGATCACCGATCCACGGAAAGAGCCGAAGTTGTTGGCTCGGTCATGTGATCAGCTGTGTCCAATCACAGCTGATCACATGTAAACAGGGAAATGCCGGTTATCGGCATTTCTCTCCTCTCGAGCTGTCACGCTGACAGCTCGAGAGGAGAGGAGAGCCGGTAATCGTCATTCTGCGGAGGAGACATGTACACTGATCATCAGAACACTGATGATCAGTGTGCCCTGATGATCTGTGTAGCCCCAGCAGTGCCACATGTCAGTGTCCATCAGTGCCAGCTGTCAGTGCTCATCAGTGTGTCACGTGCCAGTGCCCATCAGTGCCACATCAATGCCACATATCAGTGCCTACCAGTGCACATCAATGCCACATATCAGTGCCCATCTGAGCTGCCTTTCAGTGTCACCCATCAGTGCCAGTCAGTGCCACCTATCAGTGTGCCAATCAGTGCCACCTATCAGTGTCAGTCAGTGCCGCCTATCAGTGCCAGTCAGTGCCACCTATCAGTGCGCATCAGTGCCGCATATCAGTGCCCGTCAGTGCTGCCTATCAGTGCCAGTCAGTGCCCCCTAACAGTGCCAGTAAGTGCCACCTAACAGTGCCAGTCAGTGCCACCTATCAGTTCCATATATCAGTGCTGCCTTTCAGTTCCTATCAGTGATGCCTGTCAATGCCCATCAGTGCCACCTACCAGTGCCTCCTCATCAGGGCCCATCGGTGCCACCTATCAGTGTCCATCAGTGCAGCCTATCAGTGCCCATCACTGCAGCCTCATTAGCGCACATCGGCGAAGGAGAAAAATCACTTATTTACAAAATTTTATAACAAAAACTAAGAAAAAAAAATTTTTTTCCCCAAAATTTTCAGTGGTTTTTGGTTTGTTTAAAAAAAAAAAAAAAACCCAGAGGTGATTAAATACCACCAAAAGAAAGCTCTGTCATAAAAAAAATGATAAAAATTTCATATGGGTACAGTGTTGCATGCCCGTGCAGTTGTCATTCAAAGTGAAACAGCGCTGAAAGCTGGAAATTGGCCTGGGCAGGAAGGGGGTATACGTGCCCTGTAGGCTTGTGGTTAATATCTTTATAGTATTTTCTAGCGCTGCACTGTTTTTTATTTTTGATATTGTTCACTAGGTTCAGGGTCCTATATTGGTGCATATGAAGCTTATGTTATTTTTATCCTGAGCGTTCGCTGTATTTTCACCATTTCTATATTACCTATTTTGATGCCTGATAAATCGGATGAATTATTTATAAATAAATAGGGGCACAATAGCTAGATTAAACAATAGCAGTGACAAGGGACATTGTTGGCGAGTTCCTTTAAATAGAGGAATATAGTCTGACATATGTCTTGAAGTGAATAATCAGGCCGTGGGAGTGGAATATATTGGAGTGGAGTAGATACTTTTTGTGTACAAGTAAGAATATACACATTGAACAGAACTGCAGTATGGGTTTCAAACCTTCATTGCAACAGGTCATAATTTCTGAAGGAGCAAGGCTTCCTTTTTTTCACAGATTGAATAAAGAAAAAAAAATGACAGATTTGCTGCTAAGCCTGCAATCCTTTTTTTTAGGAAAGTGGCTTTTTTGAGGGAGAGATCAAGTAGACTGCAGATAAACATTTATTTTAATTATTTTCTTTTTTTTCCCCAAGAATGAAGCAAGGTGGTACATGTTAAAGTGTATCTATGGTCAAAATGTAAAATCATTATATTCATTTCCACATTGAATTTCAAATATTTCTAGCCTGAATGATCTTAAACATATTTCATGAAGAATCCCACTTCCTTAAATCGAAGGTCCACTCAAAAGTGGGAGCTCTACTTGTTTGCTTCCTTCCCCCATTCACTGCCATATTTGGCACCTTTTGGGGGGGAAGGGGGAGCAGGTACCTGGTTTTTTGACAGGTCCCACGTCTGGCCCAGTTCCCCGTGGCGAAGTGAGCCAGAAATTCGTCCCGCCTCCTTCCTCCTGCAGTCTCCTGGGAACCTTCACAGATCCCAGAAGACTGCCGGACCAGTCAGAATGCGCAGTGCGACTCGCGCATGCGCAGTGGGCACCCGGCTGTGAAACCGCAAGCTGTCACAGCCTGGTCCCACAGTTGTGATGCAGGTGCCTGGGAAGAGAAGAGGCAGGCCTGGGACAGGTGAGTGTGTGTTTATTAAAAGTCAGCAGCTACAGTTTTTTATAGCTGCTGACGTTTAATAAACACAAAACTGACTCCACTTTAAATTGCATTTACTATGCCTTGTAAATATGCACTGAACTGTCACAGAATTTAAAGAGCTACAGGTGCTGAGAAGAGGAGTTTCAGGAGGAAGAGTAAGCAATGGAATCACAGCCTGCAGGCAGCAAAGTACCATGGGATTTGAATTCCTTAGAAATCAAATAAAAAACTTCAGAGGAGAAGCTGCAAAGCATGCAGGGAATCCAGGGAGTTGTTGAAATAGATGGCCAGCAGACAGGCAGCACTTACAACATGAAAGAAGATTTTTCAACTAAGCTTATATTGGATTGTCAATAATAAATGTTGTAGTGTTATCAGGGGCGGACTGACCATTTGGGCTCTTGGGCAGTGCCCGAGGGCCCAGGGTCAGTAGGGGGCCCCATGAGAAGCCCCTAGTACCATTCATAGGCTTTTTTGGGTGTGGTTTGAGTGTGTGTGTGAGGACACAGGGGCCCCATGATCCCCTATTGCCCAGGGGCCCCATGAGTTGTCAGTCTGCCCCTGTCTGTTATGTTATTACAATGCTGATGTTATAAAATGAAAGTGTATGCTGTGACCATAGAACTCCTTTAACAAATTAGCACCACAGGCAGCTATATATCATCCATACAACATGCAGATTGCATCTTTAAAAAATGGAGTTAATTCCTCCTAGACGGAAGAGAAAAACAACATAAAGTATTGTAGCACTGCTTTTATACCCGTTTACTCCATTTTTATTTGAACTTTAAAACAGAAAAATATAAGTGATTTCAAGTACACCTTTAAAGTCTTTTTGGATTAACCACTATTTCTGAGGGAGAGAGCAAACAGATTTAATCAATAAATATAAAAGTAGACGGAATCTTTGTGCAGACATCATATAAATATTGTACAATGTGTAATTTGCTGATGAGAATTGGAGCCTTAATATTGGGAGAATAATTCTGAGGCAGAGTTTAGGTCTTTTTTTCTTTCGGAAATATTGCCTGAACTGCATTTTTTCAGACACAGGTTTTAAAAACTGTGCATATTTACAAAGAGGATTTCATCTTTTTTAATAGCAGACACATTTGAAGGCAGACAGTCAGCTTCTTTCAACCAGTAATAGTAATAACCAATGCAATTTCTAGGAAGACACTTAATGAAAATCATATAGTTTCACTCTCATCCATTTTAATAGGTAAACTTGAAGATAGGTAGTAGCCCTATTTCAGCATTAAAAAAAAAAAAAGAAAGTGTATTTTTTAAGATGCCACATATATGGTAATTCATACATATTTTCTTAACAGGATGTTATCATTTTCCAACGGAGACAATTTGGGAGGCAAGGAGATGACATATACCGGTATTTCAGCTATAGTTATTAAAGGAAACTATTGTTTGCAAAAGCAGTTAATAGTTTAAATAGAATTATTTGCTGAACTGAATCACATTCTTTAGGATGTGATGGGGTTTTAGATGCAGTGAGTAGGCATATTTTACCCAGAAATGTTATGTTTCCAGAGACTCTGTATAAACATTGTATACATTTGAGACACACATCCTTTGTAGTAGACAATTTTGGAGGCAGGGAGATTTTTATCAGGCAGAAAATAAAATGAGAATTTAGTTCCTCAAATTTTATATAAAATTTAACTTCAAAATGGAACACTGCAATTCTCCCTACCATCACGGAATGGTTCCGGCGCATCCATCAAATGGCTGAAATTATTATTATGTTATAGGTACTTATATAGCACTGTCAATTTATGCAGCACTTTACATATATATTGCACATTCACATCAGTCCCTAACCCTCAAGGGGCGTACAATCTAAGGTCCCTAACTTACATTTTATACATACACATACTAGGGCCAATTTAGATAGGATCCAATTAACCTACCAGCATGTCTTTGGAGTGTGGGAGGAAACCAGAGTACCCTGAGGAAACCCAAGCAGGCATAGGGAGAACATGCAAACTCCAGGCAGGTGGTGCCGTGGCTTGGATTTAAACCAACGACCCCAGTACTGCTAGGCAGAAGTGCTAACCATTTAGCCACTATGCAAAATGGAGGAGCTTATTAATATTGCACATTATACACCGACAAAATTCACCTGGGCATGTTGGCTGCACTTCCAGGATACAACAGAATACATGCTCCTTCGGCCCCTACCTTCCTAGAACTGGCATAACACCACGGGAGACACAAGGCCCCCCTCTCTCCCTCTTTCCCTTCCATACTATTCCCCCCCCCCCTCTTTCCCCCTCTTTTTTCTCTACACACTCAACATAGTCCTAAAAACCATTGTACAGTTCAATGGTTTAAAATACGGTGGAATTCCGCTCATGCTGGCCTTACCACTTAAATTTAGTTTGTATTAAGATTTTGTATGTTTATTATTGTTACTATACGATGACCGGTATATTGCAATATTCTGTATCTGACTTGTTCTTAATATTGCCATTTTTGTATTTTTTAGTATTCTCCCCCCTTCCCCGTGTTCCTCTTTTTGGTTACCCGAGAGGGTGGGCTATGACACTCCCTGGACTAACTAACCATGTGGTCATTTGTATGGCACTGTTATGATTATTCCTACGTAACCCTGTAAGTAGTTTATGCCCCCTTTTTATTTTTCCTTTTTTATTCCTCATATATCTAATTTTGTATTTGTTTTGTTGTTCTGTTCTGGTGCCCTTGCGGTACCACTGTTCACTTAAAACCGAATAAAATACTTGGAAAAGAAATTTAACAGATTTGATGCATGGAATCACATTTTATTTTTAAGAAGATGCTATATTATAATGGTACTGCACTGGGAGGAAGCAGGCAGGCTCCAACTTTATTTAAAAAAAAATTGTATTCCCTCTGTGACTAAATTAGAAAAATGTGTACAAATTAGTTGCCATAATTTTTTGGGGGAGCATATAATTCAGAGTTGGGGGAATGAGAAAGGGTGACTCCTATTCAGGAGTGTATTTACCACAAGGCAAACAAGGCATTTGCCTAGGACGGCATTTTTAAGGGGGGGCAACACTGCCCCTCGGAAGAAGGGATGGAAGAAGGGATGGAAGAAGGGACACACACATGACATGGGGACCTGGTGGGTTACAAGAGAAGCTGCGGGATTCATGACGGTGGATGCATAGCCCGACTCTCGTTCCCGTGGATGTCTGGAGCTGTGAAGGTGAGTGTCTTTCTCTCTCTCGCCATGGGGGATGGTGGCTGGTGTATGGGGGGCAGTGGTAGTGGAAGGCTTTCTTGGGTGGGAGTCAGGGGTGTTGTTGGTCAATGTCAGGCTCTCTCTGCAGAAGGTGCCGATTTTTGTGTTGCCTAGGGCAGCACAAAACCTTAATCCACCACTGCTCCTATTTAAAGAATCACTGTTAGGCCACACTAATAGCA